CTCAAAAACTGTTTGACCGATTTTGTAAAAATTTCAAAGTTTAGAGAGTAATTCGAACCACTTTCGATTTATACTAGGTACTAGCTGCTATGTCCGATCGTGTGTCCAAAGCAGACGACAATAACTATTGTCCATCAAAAGTGATCAAAATAACTGTAAAATATATAATAATACCATTACTTATAGACGTGATAAATAAAAGAAAATACAATTATTTTTTTTACTAATTATTCATAATAATACTTTATATCTTTGTTTTGTGAAATATTCCTACTTGCAATGCGTTGTATTGCAAATAGTATTATATATTTATATATAGGTATTTTGTTGTACAAACAATGACCAGAATGATGTATTATAATACAAGACGACTTTTTCGTAATACATTTTTAATTTTTAATTTCAGTTGCCTTACCTACAACTGCAAACTGTGACGAAACAGAATATTATCAGTTTCTTTTGTTCAGAAAATACTACTTCAAAGCAGAAAAATGCTTTGATAATCTTTTGGATTTCTCATAAAAGTATTATTAAAATATTTTCAACAGGTCTGTGTAATTCAAGTTTTCATCTATTCCATTGTTATTCACATCATTATAATATATCTTTATATGTATATAAAATATTTAGGTTATACTCTTATTATAGCTAAAAAAAAAAAAAAATAATAACTATCTTGAAACACCAAGTCCTGGGGTTCTATAGAGTGGTGGACGCGTATATTATGTATATAAATAATAACATAAAGGTAGTATTGTATATAATGTTTTTTTTTTCATTATTACTTTTTAATTAAATACCACATTTGAAGAAGTACTACGGTCCATTTTTTTTTTATTGTTAAAACTATTCACAAACTCACCGAGCCTCGGCAATTAAGGCATTTCAATACGGTACACTTCAATATTTAATATAATAATTGTTCTGCGCGGGAGCCTGCAGCGGACTAATAATAATTGCTCGAGAGTCGAGACAACTCGATCTAGTGGCATGTATGATGGCATGTATGGCTTCCACTGCTGCAATATCCAGTATTATAGCGCAGTTACCTACACATAATAATATTATGTTTATATTGTATAGCTCGGAGCTCTGGTCCAAATAATTATTATAGTCCGACGACGGGTGGGCCGAGTTCGGGGTAAATAATACCACTATTGTAGTATAGGTAGACACCGCCATCACCGCCCGCCAACAATCCAATTGGCTCCATACCCCGAAAAGCACGCGTCGTGTTGGCATCATGATAATGTATTCCGTATATAATATAATATATTTTAGTGGGCACCGGGCACGTGGTATTAACGTCATAATATGTTAACATACTTGTATACAGTGGCGAAGCGTCGTCGGAGACATTAAGACAACGTCTCCCCACTTAGAAATTAAAACAAGGGACAAATGAATAATGATTTTGTTTTATAAAATATTTACAAATTTGAATTTATATTTTATACTATGTACGTGGTTGTATGTTTCAATATTTGTTAAAATTGGTTTTTCGTGGTACAGTTTTAGAATTCTTAAAATAGATTATAATATACGATACGGTTGTGTGGAGTGATAAGCACTTGTCCGAAAATGATAAGAGCGGATATGCGGTGATTAGTGGTTACCCTGTGACCAACTTGAGGTGGTGTTGCATAGCAAGCCGAGGGATATTTTCGTTTTTTTTTGCCCTAGCGCAGCGCAGCGAGCCAGTGGCCATGTGGTCATCACTGGGCGGGCATCACTGTAAATCATTTCAACTTTGGTGTCACTGATGACTCGTTGGTTTATGATGGTATAAGTCGTGGCATAAAATTTCTTATCATTTTTCGGACAACTGCACCCTACTCAACTACACTCGGTGTTATGTTTTATACGAATCTACTATGATCGTTAATTTTATTTAATGGTTGTAAGTCTACTGTGGACTATAATTTTTAATAAGTCTGTGTTAACTTTATACGAATCTACTTTAATAGTTTTTATTTTATTATTAGTATTCTATTAAGGACTATAATTTTTTATTTCATTTTGAATTTTAACTTTTTTATTTAATTAATTTTAGTCAGCTATTGACTTTTTATTTTATTTTAAATTTTAACGACTCTGTGTTAGTTTTGTACGAATCTACTTTGATCGTTAATTTAATTGTATTATTATTAGTCAACTATGGACTATAATTTTTAATTTTAACGACTCTGTGTTAGTTTTGTACGAATCTACTTTGATCGTTAATTTAATTGTATTATTATTAGTCAACTATGGACTATAATTTTTAATTTTAACGACTCTGTGTTAATTTTGTACGAATCTACATTCATCGTTAATTGTATTTAGTTATTATTAGTCCACTGTGGACTTTTTATTTTATTTTAAATTCTAACAACTTGGAAGTATTATTTTAATCATTTAACAATTTTTTTTTAAATTTATAATATTATCTGATCAGGAATATTATATTATGTTGTAAAATTCCTATATTTATTTAAATCTTAAATCTTTCTGAAAGAGAGTCACTATTGTTGGGCTCCACTTGGTAATGCATCAAAAGTGCTATTGATGAGACATGACCTTATAATAATGTATTAACTAAGTTGTAGCAGTTAAGTACTTTTAATGGATAGTAATTGACGGTGTTAAGGTGGCTACAGACCTGACCTTACATTTACTACCTGTTTATAAGAGCCTATATTTTATTACGATTAATCGGGTCATATTACTTTTTAGTAAGTCTAAGCCTGCGTGTCTTATCAACTGCTATTGGTGGTAATCTTATCATTTATGATGTGTGAATATATATTAATATAATTTCTCGTCTGGTTAACGTCGATGATTGCACGACAATGGAATCGAAACGAAAACTTAATATTTTTATGTCTATAGGAACACAGTTTTTGTGTGCAAGTCAAGATATTAATTTGACGTTTCACAACAAGAAATAAAGGTTAATGAAGTTAACACTCGGTATATTGCAAATAAGTGAGAAAATACGGTGTAAACTGCAAGATACGTAGACCGGTTGCCCGAAGCAGGGGGGAGTGGCTGAAGGCATACTGGCTGTCGTATCGAAATTGGGTTTTCTACGCCTTTATGTATGATTGACTTTTTCGTACTTGCTGTTCGATTCCAAATCGTTGTTGTTCATTTGAAAAGGTACATAGGTACCTATACAATGTTATTGTTGTTAATGAACATTTTGTCACATTAATTACATTGTACACACTACACATAGGTAGTAATTAGTATTTTGCACTTAATTTATATTATAGTAAAGTACCCACACGGTACAGTTATTTTATTAGGTTTATGATTGATATTTTTAATGGTATTATGATGATATCAAGTCATGAAGTTTTGTGGCGTAATAATGTGAATGTCATTAGTAATTACAGTTCTAAGCATAGTGCCTAGTATATAAACTGTAAGCAAACTTTCAATATCCATCAGTGTTTTGTTTTCGGTAAATTTTGTAAACAAATTATTTATATTCATCTCGTTTATAATTTAAGCAGTGTTTGACATTTTCAAAATGGCTATCAAGGTAAGATTTTCAAATAAATTGTCATTTTTATTTTTTGCATTCATTGTATTTAACGATTCATTAATATATTATTATGCATCTCGATTTTTAATGTTCATTATCGGTATATTATTTTGTCTCGTTTTTGGAAGTAAACGCGCTACAGCTTTTAAAAGTAACAAACACTTAATGCAATTATATAAGTTGTGATAAGTATTAAGTAACTTTGATATAGCTTATAAAATAAAATAATTATTTATAATTAAGGAGAAGAGTGGTCCAAATTAGATAAAGGGATGTGGAAAGGAACAGGATAACGTGAGATACGAGAGGGAATTAAAAAAAATTTGAGATTATAAAACTTAAAAATAAAAGTTAATAAGTGACCGGTAAAATTTATGACGACCGTTAGCTAATGAATCCAAATGTATTTAGATAAACAAAAATATGAATCTAACAGTGTAGATGGCTTTTAATTTTAAGTAAATAGCTAGAAAACTTTAGGAATTTTCATAAAATGTATACTATCATTTATAGATTATAAACGGTGTAGTGCTTATTAACATTTTTAAAATAATGTTTTATGATGATAACGAGAAGATTTATTCACACAATATTAAATATAGTAAAATAAAATCATATATCATGAAGATATTATAAATATAGATTAGGACTTAGGAATGTAGGTTATGCATATAGTATAATATTATATATTTACGTATTATATTATTTTACTCACTTTCGTGAGAAAATAATTTCGAAAATGAACTATAATAATATCTCCATAATGATTGCATTACGTATGATGGTATCAATATAATAATATTATCGGACACGCTGTATATTTAACGTCTAATTATTGAACAATATAATTATATAGTTTTGTTTACGTACCAATACGTATAACACGCCTAATAAACACACTGCCACACTATGTGATAACATACTTAATAATGCAATTGCAATTGTTTCAAAATACATTTATGAAAAAAATCAGGGATTTGTGGTCCCTGTAATTAATAGTTGTGAGATAATTTGAGAGCAGATCTATAACCAAGTATACCATACTATTCGATAGAAGGTTCTGAGCTGACTGCTGAGCGATGGATGCACCTATTGATTTTACAATGATGTGTGTTTTTATGTTTTCATGCCAAACGTTTTAGAACAGTGAAATTACTTCAATTTGGGGGGGGGGGGGAGGGTAGCAAAAAAAAATTCACGATCTAGGAGGTCTCTAGACCAGTTTCTTTTTTGTCGGCGCGGAAAATACTACTTTAAATACTTGTTGAAAAAATTATTCGAACACGTTTCTGAATTATTTTTTTTTGTATTTTTATTAAAATCGAACACATTACCAGTTAAAAACAATAGTTTTTCTCTTTGAATGAAATATGACGACCCGTTTTCAACCATTCCAAAAGCGAAAAAACATTAGAGCAGGGAGGGGAGGGGAAATGTATTCGAATATATGATGTATTCATAACGCGTATTTTTTAATGTATTCGAATACAAGGGCAAGGAAAAAGTTCAACTTATCGAGACCGTATACAACATTAAAACGATTATTATTTATTTCGTCCAGTCCGCGATCGTAGTGTTCGCCACCGTCGCCACTCTGTTCGGGCGTATGGTGTTCGCTCACCCTCCGGGGCACGAGAGTAACCACGGCGACGGCGACCACAGCAACCACGGTGCAGGTCATCCGCTGTCGATGTACCAGTACAGCGGTCACGCGCCACCAGCCGCCCCGTACCATTTCGAGTACGGCGTGGAGGACCTGCACGCGCACGACATCAAGAGCCAACAAGAAGTGAGCGACGGACACGGAAACGTCAAGGGATCGTACAGTCTGGTGGAACCCGACGGCTCCACCCGATTGGTCGAGTACACCGCGGACAACGAGCGCGGGTTCAACGCCGTGGTCAAGAAAATCGGTGCTCCCCACGACGGCGACAGCGACCACCATCGGTCGCACACGGAAGTCGACTACCACCACCGACTGCCGTCCAATCACCCCCTGCAGGACTAACGATTGGTGATTATCGAGCAACCCGAACTGTAATTTCGTTCATTACCATCGTAATAATATATCGTTCATAGTCATTTACCGATAATTAATATTGTCCTGCGGCTGTTGTTGCCGTTGTCGTTGTTGGCCATGTGTAATGATGATAATGATGATATTAATAACAATCGTACAATTCGTACAACTGCGTTTGGTGATTCTTTGCACAAAATTGATCCTATTGTTAGTAGTTTGTTGAATAACACATTTATCATTGTATAGTAGAATACAATATTATATTATAATATTTACCTACAATATTTTTGTCTCGTTTTTATACTAATAAACTAATAACAATAATATATTACTGACAAGAGGCGAGTATAGATATAGGGCCTACAAAAGTCATTTCTTAGTGAAAAAATATAAACTAGAACGAGGAATCACACTTTGCAATAATTGACTTCGTCCTGATAGCCATGTATATTATATATATTATCTATAATATTATATATATTATTACAGAGTATGCTACAATGATGGTGTGACACACGGTATTGTACCTATTTACCTAACTGATTAGGTATATAGTGAACACTTGACTGTTTGAAGCACAAACTGAAAATGTCAAACAATTGACAGAGCCAAATGCCTAATAGTTTGGTTCAAAAGTATTAGTATAGTTTATTAATAGTTAAATTAAATTATATTAAATTTACTATATATTTTTATAACTTTAAGGAGGACAATATCACAGAATATATGATAATAATACTTAATTAAGATACATAGTACACTATAATACAATACATACTTAAAATGAAAGAAATAAACAAAATATAAATAAATTACGAACCCAGTTAACAAAAAAATATTTAAAAAAATTCTGTTCGGTGTGATACAGAATTTGAACAGTACAGTGTTGTGTTCGTGTTTAAATAGGAAATTGCTAAATTGCAGGTTCGAAAATCAGGTTTTTAAACCTAACATCAGGTAACCTACTTTGTCATATTGTGTTATACTTGATTGAAGAATTGTAAGCCACTGCAGATATTTTGACAAAAAAATAAGTAAGCGTAAATAGTACCTATATAATATTAACGACTTGTTCAACTTACACTGAACTTAAATGCAATTTTTGACGTGATGTTAATCATTTGCATTTATTTAATATTATGTTAAAGAAAAACATCGAAAAGCCGTACCTAAAATATGGTTGCACGATGTTTAACTACCTAACAAGTAGAATATAACAAAATAATATAACATAAAAATATAATTAGATAATAAAATACACGTTACACTGCATTCATTTTACTACGATAGGTAAGTAGTAACACGTGCAACTGTGCAAGTTTCTTCACTAACTTAGCACATAAAACGACAAATTCATATCTGTGTCGTGTTTAATTAACAAGGTATTACAAGTAGAGGAAGTGTAGATGCTGTTGAATTTTTTTAATTGTGGTATAATGTATTAATGTATAAATGTAAAATTACATTACTCCGGATTAGGGTTTAGCTATTCACCAGATAAGATTAAGCGAATGAACTAGGTTATAGGAATAACCTTAGATTTTTAGTTTTTACACATTATTATTTATTACGTAGTTACAATTTTTTTTTTAAATTAAACTAATACTTATAGTTAAAATTTGATTATGTAATGTAGTTTAAGATAGTTCACCAATTAAGAAAAAATTTAAAGTTTAAATTTAAATTAAAAAAAAAATTAATTTTTTGTACCAATTAATCACCCACCTTAGGTCTATTTAGTATTTACACCTATATAACCAATTTAATAGTAAGTTGTTAACTTAAATTTTAGTTATACACTCTATACTCTAAAGCCTATAGGTACCTATAATCTATGTCATAAGTTATAACTACATGGCTATATGAGTAACTAAAAGCTATTTATACCTTGTATACTCTTATTACTTTTCAGGTATATTTTATTAGTTGTTTCTATAACTGACTATTCTTTTGTCCTTTTTAAATACAATATTTAGTATATACCTAATACATTATACCTTCATAATATGTGCATTGTGCAGCAAGACGAACAACCAAAACAACAAATTGATCCATGTCTAAAAATGATGTTATTTTAAAGAATTGTTCAAAAAAAAAAAGATTTAAAAAAAGGTGAACCTACGTGAAGTTAACGACATAATATTTCATGACAAAAAAACTTATAACTGAGTATCTACTGCACTATAGAATTAAAAAAAAATTAAAAACTGCCATTAAATACTTAGAATAAGACAGAACATTAAACTTTCTAATTTAATATTCTCATTATAATAATGCATGAATGTATTATCTTAGCCAGAACAATATTAAAATGCTATCAGTCCATATTATATTATAATATTAGTTATTATAATGTACGTCACATTATTTATTGGTATAAATGTTGGGTACCTATATATTTCTAATAAGAAAAAATATATGTCATTTTTCGTTTTACAATTCACATAATCAGTTAAATTTTAAATGTGTATATATATAGTCATGGTCATGCAATGAATTGATTTAAAATTCTCACCATTTATTTAAGCTATAATATGTACTTAGAAGACGAGGTAGTTACGTTTATAATACTTTATAAATAATAATACAAATAAAAATAAAATAACAATAACACACTTTATACTAATATCGTACGTCGTTTGTGATATACAAACGTTAAATAAAACTTCTGAAAATCGAGTTTTATAGAAGTTCAATGCGACCTACATCTTTCAAGTGAAAACATAATTATCAAAATCTGACTATTTCGTGAAGCGTGGGATTTTTTTCTTGTGAGGAAAAGTTTTGTACTAAAATAAGTCTTCTCCGAAAACCCTTGATATTGAATTTTTTGTTAGAATTTGTTGGCTATGAAATGGTGTGAGAGAGCATTCGTTTTTCGAAGGATAAATATTAAATACCGTACCCGAAAAATGTTTTGTCGCCCTTAAAGTCCTCGACCCTCGTGCCTCTGCGGATATAAATATATACATTTCGTACAGAATCGAACATATTATATTATATGCACGATGCACACTATAAGATAAAAAAAAAAAAACTGCGGTTGTGTTCCTTAATATATGTAAGTATGTTTGCATCGCTAAAAAAATAATATATATAGTAATAATATCAAAAGTAAAAACTGCAGTCTTGGTCGTAAACAAACCATAATATCATATCGTCTTGGTCTTTTTTCAAGCCAAAAACTAACGTTGTTTTATCTTGAAATTATGCGCGTTACATTGTAAATCTCCCCGGACTTTCATATTTCTGGAGAATGGCCAAAGAGTAAGTATTGTAATGTTCACGCGACCGGATCTCCCTCGCAGATTAATCATGTCCACCATTTCGGTGCGAACTAATTTCGTACATACACGTGTTGTTGCTATTTTTTATTATGAATAATAATCTATTATAGAAGTAAAAATGTACAATATATTTGACAGCTTAAGCCCTTGCGCTTAGTATCTAATGAATTTTTGATAATAAAAATAAGTTAAAATATACAATATGCTTTTATCGTTTATCGTCGATGAAAATCGATGACGGTATGGGATATCCAAATATATAATATAGCTTTAAAAATATATAACTACGAAGGGAAAAGTTCATTGTTGTGGTGCAAGTGTGCAACTATCACTAAAAAAGAACTAATTATTGACTTTTGATTATTGAACGAATCATGTTTAAATAAAATGCAATAAACACATGTTTTACTATAACAAATTATTTCAGAACTAAAGAGATTTTTTTTTGTACTTGAAGATTATTTCAAATACTTCTGAAAAGTATTTGAGTATTACTCAAATACTTTACTATTTATAGTATTTGGGTGGTATTTTAAATACTTTATTTTAAAAGTATTTTTTACAACACTGTCTAATTGATGTAATACGAAATTCTCATAAATTGTTGTAGCACCTTATAGTTAGGTAGTTATAAAATGTTCAATAGAAAGATGGGAACCTTTTTTTATGATTTACACATGGTTATATTAATTAAATTATTTGCTGTTAATGTAGGTATATTATGTTATAATGTACCTACTATTAGGTAGGTATACAATATTTTTTAAAAATAAAGTGATAAGTAATTAAACAAAATCAACTAGCAGATCTGATTTTTATTGTTATGTATAAAGTATAATTTAAGATGAAGCTAAATAGTTTTATATATTATAGCATTAAAATAAAATAAAAGTAGTCAATCACACATTTTACTCATAAACCCTTTGATACAAAAGGATGTGCTATGACGTGATTAAGAGTAACTACTAACTATATTCTTACTATCTTCCAGTTAGCTATAACTAATAATACATCTATATAATTTATATAAATCGGAAAGTTTTCAAAGAGATTGCTAACATAATATATGCAATAAAATTGTGTAGTATGAGTAGAGCATATAATATAATATATCTGTTATTGAGATATTGTACAATATTCAACTATAAGTATTTAATTTAATTGTAAGTACCATATATTATCAAATTAGGCGCCTATCTATTTTTAACACAAGCTTAATGTTACATTTATAAGATGACTGAAAAAAACATTGTAAAAATGTATATAAGATAACAGATTTAAGATGAAAGATTTTTTATAGGTAAGTACCTGTTATTATTTATATTAATATAAAAAATAATACAAAGAATGTGTGTTGTTTAGACATAAGTATTGATATTATTATGGATATTGTACATTATTTTGTCCAGAAATAAAAACCAAAAATAAATACAATTTGAACGTATCAAGCCTAACCTAACCTTGATTTTGACTCCAGAATGAGCAAATACATGTTGATTCACAGGTCAATTGTTCATGATTATAAAATTATGCACCATGAACTTTAATTTAACAATAAATCATCCTAACGCATATACTTCAGTGAGTGACCACTCTTTAATTTATCATAACAAACAACCTAGTATAGAATCTTTATACAGTATATAGTTACACATAGCCACATAGGTATTCACAACGCAGAGGGTATTAAACAAGATATTCAAAGAGAAGAAAATATTGTAGTATTCATATACTTTAATATTATAACAATAGTCTTTACTTTTTGAACCCTCTATAGGCAATCCCTAGATTTTTTTTTCATTTTTTTAATGGTTTAACAAAATAATAATTGACTGATACTTCATTCAAAATTTAAGTTTTAAATAGGAATATCATAATTAAAGTATTATTTTTTAGGTAGGTTTATTATTGTTTAAGATTTTTATTTGTTTAAATATTTCTTCAAAAATAATTGATTGAATAAAATAAATTACAGTTGAACCCTATTTAAAAAGTCTGCTTTGACAACAATTTTTAAAAATGTTTATTGTTAATATTTTGTTTACAGGATATATATACTTAATATCTATAGCATGTATTTAGATCAATAATTAAAAGTAAGTAGATACTACATTTTTAAACATCATAGTATATATTTTTTAATGTGCACAGGTTTTTAGATTTTTGGGAGGATACTTAAAGATAAATTGTCCCACCCCACCTCTATTTCAAGCATTGTAATGACCAATACTGACTTTAATTAATTAATTAGTAAAAAAATGTTTTTTTATTCATATCTAAGTAATAATCAATACATTTTATTTTTAAGCATTAATAACCAGAAGAATCAGTAGTGCAACCAGGAGGATACCTGGACTCCTCCTTCATAGGTGCGTTTAAAATAATTCAGTATCTTTATTTCTATTACAGGCATGTCAAACTCAAATTATTAACTGGGCCACTAATATTTTACTATGCACATACAAATCAATCAAACAAAAACTATTTTATACACATTTTTAACTGCATTCATTTCTTACAATCAGGGGTGGACTGGGGCAAAATTTTGGCCCGGGAAATCTATATTTTGACCCGGCCCTTGCCATTTCTCGTCATCACAAAAATGTAAAACTTAAATATACCAACGTTTTATTCAATGAGGAATGCAGCCTCTACACATTTTCAATTTTCCCAGAAAACAACTTAAGATTTTTTTTTTTTTTTCATTAATTGTTTATGGCATCAACTAAGAAGTTATTAGCCAGGGGTTTTTGGGACTGATGGGTTCGGAACTCATGTGAAACTTAAGATTTGTTAAACTAAACTTACCAAATAGTTTCAATAAGTAATTTAAATTTTGTTAAATATTAATGAAGTACTTCACAAATAAATAATATATTGGTAAAAGTCATTTAATCATAACATAATAATATTTAATACCTTATGTAAAAATATAAAATATTATGACACTTATATTGTAGTATATTAACTTTTATTAGTTATAACTAGAGTTAGGATGTTGATGACTTTTGCATTTTTTTTCTTTTTATTCTGTACAATGCTATCCTAGCTAAAAATTTGTTTCATGCTCCCTTGATGCAGAATATTCTAATTTTATTTTGCATTTTTTTGCATTTTTTGCATTTTCAGCTATAAATGCATTTTTTTTGTTTTTAACGTCATTTTTCAACATTTTTAAGTCATTTTTTCATCTTTTAGAGCATTTTTTACAAATTATAGATTTTAGGGCAAATGTTACACCCAAGTTTGGAAACAAATTTAATTTATTTAAAATCTAACTTTGGATTTGGACTATTAGTAAAAAATAATTTTAATATTATTATTGTGGGGTTTTTGTTGTGATTACATTTATCGCGTTCCGATAAGATTTACTCTTTGAGTGTTATATATTGAATTATTTAAATGCTTAATATATTTATAATTCATATTTTAAATTACTATTACACCCATTATTATACCCATATCTCTAATAAAAATTATTATTTATAAATAAGTTTTTTCACTTACTTAATTAGTATTTTAGATAATTTTTAAGGTCATTTTTTGAAGTTTTCAGAGCTTTTTTGCACTTTTTTTAGGGTTTTTTTGCATTTTTTTTAGGGCATTTTTGTGTGTTTTTTAGGTCATCAACATCCTAACTCTAGTTATAACTAGATTTAACTCATTTTTCCTTTGGAAATAAATTATATTCATATTGCATACCTATTAATAAAAAAAAATACAAGGGAAAAATAATAATTTTAGGTAATAGATAGGTATTTACATTTTTAATGATTATTTGCGGTTGATTGCAAAGATTTTCTTGCATTACTAAAATAATATATTATTCAAATTATTGATCATACGCAAACTCCTGATGGAGTATCAGCCAAACCAAAATCTAAAATCTATTTTTAAACACCAAATGTAAACAATTTTTCATACACGCGCGTAAAGATAATATGAAAAAATAAAATATTCATCATTTGAATTTAAACCCATTTGCTATTTTATTTTAAGTAATAAGTAATGTAATAATAACAAATTATTTTTGAACAGCGGCCCACCGGGAAAGTTCCCAGTTTCCCGCCGGCCCAGTCCGCCCCTGCTTACAATACTTTATTATAATACATATTCAATTACAGTTTATCAGAAGATAAGACAGAAAAGTAACATAATGTATACCTCTCACTAACATAGCTGTGTCTAGTGACACAAAAGAAAAACTGTAGAATTTTTTTTTATTAATAATTGTTTATTATAATTGCTATCCGTGGACCTTAAAAAAATGAGCCGGGGCCCGAGTGTTTGAAACACCTGATTTAGAATATAATATGCAGTGGTCGAAATGGCTCAAGATAAGTGGAGGGATGGCTTACAATTCAGATTTCCTGATATCATCATAACATTCTTCATACCTTGTATAGTATTATTTTTTTATAGTTCACATTTTGTTTATGCATCAGAATACTATAGTCTACAATCTTTTTCTATCATAAATAATCTTTAAAACTAAACAAATAAATAACATATTTTCAAATTTAGTAGCAAAAAAACTGATAAAATATTTTATTTATAATATTTTTCTGTGGAAATTTTAGATTATCTAGTTAAATTTGTAAATTGTAATTAATACTAACAATATAATTTGTAATATAACAAAATATATTAGTATTTATTATTATTATAATTATAAAAGTAGAGGGATGAAAAATGTAAATACAAAAAAGTAGAGGGATGTCATCCCACCATATCCCCTCCCCCCACTTCGACCACTGATAATATGGATAAATCATAGGCATGACTAGACAACATCCGCAGCGGCAGCCTAGCTAATAACCGTCGCTAATGAACCAAAAAAAGGCCTATACATCCAAGGTTGAATGTTTCTAAAGTCCTTCCTCCCCAATGAAATATTTATATAATTTTAAAAAATGTAGATTATTTATTTATTTACAATAAATAATCTACAGTATTTGCAGTACTTTTAAAGTTTAAATTTGACTCTAGGAATATTATTAATCCACAGCCTTGGATTACACTATCTAGCTACAAATCAAAAAATAATAGAACAATAGGAATATCTAATGTTAGATGTGAACTTTACTGCCGTCCTTCTAAAATTGTTATAGTACAGGTTTTAAGAAGTTGGGAACATATCTTTATAAGTAAATAGTAATTATGACAATACCTATATAAAATACATTTGTAACCCAGACTTAAAATTAGGTTGACCGGCACCTTATAGCAGGGACAGCCCAGACAACCTAGGCTGCCACCGTAGACACACCTATGGTATAAATTATCTATAAATAACAATTTTGTGGTAGTTCATAATTCATAACAAAAATAATAATATAGTCATGTAGAATGTATTGCCACTTTTGGAACATGAAATTAAGTATAGTTCCTCTCCATTGAAAAATTCAGATTGCACTATCACATTACTCAAAATACCTCGGAGCTTGAGCTATGAGTATTTATGAAAGTAATAAATATTTAATAATCCAAATTAGGAAATAGTATAAGATCCATCAAACAATGAATAAAAATGAAAGACAATTGTTGAACTATTGTTGGAATGAGTCTATTTTATTTTAAAATCCATGATAGGAAGTTTAAAAATATTTAGCAACATTTTTAAAGTAAACTAAAATAAGTCAAAAATTCGAACAAATGATGGTGTTGTATTTTTTACAAATTTTTTTTTATAAAATGATTTTGAACTTTTTATTTGTATATAGGTTATTATTAATACAACTATTAAAAAAAAAAAACAACTGTCTAATGCAAATGAAACAAAATTATGTTTTATAAATATGTATTTGTAATTCAAGTCAAACACTATATAACAAACAAAACATATTATGCGTAATATATTATAACTAAATAAATTTTAAACTCACATACTTATTTCATTATTACAAACTGCTGTTGGTGCATTCTCACTTATTCCTGTCGTTCTTCAGCAGCTTTCCATCCTTTTGGTCGCTGTTCATATAATGACCAATTATTGTATGGCGTTCTGAAATCTCCGTGCAAGGGTTTACGAATTTTAGGATAAGTGGGGTAGAATTCGTAATTGTTAAGCTTTGAATGCTTCTTGGCTGCACCAATACACGCGAACGAAACTGCCATCCAAAAACCGAGCATTTTTTGATTCAACAGTAGACCGGTCAGTATGCCGGTGGAGAAACCGCCAATGGCATAGTTCACCATATCATCTTTACCACGTATGTTGGTGGAAAAGTAAGTCACCAAGCAGAATGTCGATGTGGCAGCATACATTGGTCCCATCAACTGGCCGTATCTGAAAATCAAGAGATGTGCAATTTTAAGATACACATTGGTCGTGAGCAAAAACGAAGGCATTGCTACCGTCAAACACAATTATTATTACCTGACTGCGGTGTTCAGATATCCAAATGGTTTGCTGACCAGGATGATTTCTGATGTAGCCAGCCCGAACCCAATGATGGACACTTGTTTGTTGGTGTAGAACAGTTTTTTTATGAGGTCCTTACCGTCCGGAGTATCGTAATACGTGTACCTGAACAACGACATGGTGGCTGATGGTTCGGTCGACGTAGGTAAGAGATGATGGCAAAGATCGAGCGTTCGCAATAGAGGGTCGAAGGAACGACAGATCGAGTGACGGAAGAGACCCGACCAAGAAAATGATACAGTTTTTGAGTTTTCTTTTTAGTTTTGTCTAAATACGAAATACGAATCCGGTCGTGATAACATGAACATATGTTATGCGCTATTAACGATAAGCGGGAGATATATGTATATAATATTCACCTTGGTCAACGGAAATACACAAAATATGATGTAAAAAAATAGTAAAAACACTCGGGGTCTGCTAATCGCTTATCACGCTGACCGCGGTTGATAGCGAGACGATATCATATTGTTATCACTGAACAATATTTTATTTTGAAGGGCATCAACGAGTGGAGTGCTGCCAACATTACCATAAAACGACAAAACGGTGGTTGCCGCGGCTACCGTCTTCAATGTCCAAGATTTTATTATGTATTTATTATTATTAATTATAAGTCCGGTGCAAGGTGGACATAAATATAAATATATGTATATATATATTATTTAATATATTTATTATATAACATATTTTTATATATATTATACATTATATATGTTACCGGCAATATGGATAATCCGGTATTTTGCAAAATACCTAGGCATTATATAAAATGCCTAAAATCACTCGGAAATATATATACCTATTACGAGTTTCGCCCATGTATTATGTACAATGACCAACGTGGAGTATACACTGTTTCAAAAGAGAATATGCCAGATTTACATAAGAAAACCGGTTTTCCGTAACCTAACCTGGTATGTTCTCTTTTGAAACAGGGTATAGGAAATATGATAAAAATAAACAAAATTGGCCTATTACCAATTACTATCGCCTATTACCAACGATTTTACCTACAGTTAAGAATTATTTAAATGCGTGTACCGTGTCCGTGTGTGCACGATTTGATGCAAGATTAGAGTTCTGATGTTCTGAAGCAGTTATACGCCAGAAGTCAGTTCACAGCATGTCAGAAAAAGCTACTACAAATTTACGAGGTTCCAACAGGCACAGAAGTGGCGTTACGAACAGTCAACAGGAACTGGCCAAAGATTTTTAAAATGTGTTTGTAAGACAAGTGTCAAAATAAAAAGTGCATTTGCCTTACATATTCTATTATATTATTCTTAATACAGTAATACCTAAATTTCATAATATAATAATAGTCAATGAGATGTTTTTGGCTTAAATAAATCCAATCAAGGTATACGCACCATATAACTTGTACATATATAGTACCTACATTTCTTACAGAAATGTGCATTAATTATACGATATAAGTACTCAGATTAAAAGGCTAACACAGTGACAAGTGACACAAGTACCATTGCCACTTTTTCGTATGCAATGATTTCATTTTCATTATAAAATATTCAAATTTACTATCCATAACAGACAACAGTAACCCACATAACCTAATAATGACCAGGTACACTGGAAATGTATTATACCGGCGAGTTAGGTACCCAGTTTTTTCATATTTCATGCAAATTATGTAGGTTGACATTTTATGACGCCAAAATGCGAATGGAAATAGTGAATATGGAAATATTCTAGTCACTATAAATTAGGCGTTTAAAATGATTAGGTAGCCAGGTAGGTAAATTAACATAGAATATTTGCTTTCATGTATATAATCATAGGCGTGCGCAGACTCTAAAAGCAGGTAGTGCCCATATTTATCATCGGCCAATTAGTCAACCGTTTTATATATATAATAACAAATCTAAATTTTATAAAAGTACCTATTTAATATTATCACATATTATATTTTCTTACATAGTTTAATATAATAATAATTAATAGTACACAATAGCAATAATTGCTACAAATAATATAATAATAATAATAACAACATAATATAATTATAAATACTTTATATTAAACCTGATAGTTCAAATAAAAAAAAAAAAATACAAGTACTAGTAAATTAGAATAAAGTATAACAAATATAATATGTATGAATTACAGAAATTCACGTCATCTAGAAACAGTAGAAATCATAAATATATTTTATGTCCTTAGAGAGACATTCGTCTGTTCCCCTTACTGTTGAATTCATCTATTACTGCATTTAAATCTACCTTTGATACCATTTCTTGTTCAGTGAAAAGCAGTAATAATGACTCCAAACGTTCTTGACTCATTGTACTGCGTAATTTGTTTTTTACAATAGTTAATTTTGAAAAAACACGTTCACAAGTACAGCTAGTTACAGGTATGATTGTAAACATTTTCAAAGTTTTAAAAACACAAGTATATACTGTAGAATTTCCAGTTGTTTTCAACCAATCAATCCATTCATAAATAGATTTACTAGAAGCACCATTTAGTTGCATAGCATTTTCATAATTTTTTAAAAGTTTCAGTTCAGTAATTAAATCTTCCTCTGAAACTTTGGAAAATGTTGATAATATTTTTGTAGTATTTTGAGTTAAATTCATATTTAACATACATGCCATAGCATCAACCAAGTCAAATGTATCCTGCTTAAATCTTGAATCAATTCCACTGAGTAGTTTGTCAAGTAATGGATAGAATACTGTAATTTTCAATTCATCAAATTTTGTATTAAAAAAAGCTTGATTTGATGAATTAGAATCTAAACGAGTTGAAACTTTGCGAGAATTACTATCTGGAATAACAATATCATGTTTTTTGCATAATATAACAGATCTATCAAACATTTGTTTGTATTCACTGTCATCATTTCTCATACTATCTAATGTACTTCTCAAACTATTAACATTTTTCATTGCCAAAACAAGATTAAGATTTGGTTCTTGGAGTAAGGTACTAACTTTTAAAATTAACATTAAAATTGGATTCATCATATGCATACCAAAAATGAAATCAAAGGTTTTTAATTGATATAATAAACCAATTCCTTTAGCTCTCATCTCTGGCACTGAACAATTTTCACAAATGTTTTCTATTGCAATAATCAAAACTTCATAATTATTCATAATTGCTTTCACAGCTTCTGCTCGACAAGCCCATCTTGTATTTGAACATGACTTCAATGTGTGGAGTTTATCACCAGTTTCTTTTGCAACTTTTTCCAGAGTTGCGTGTCGCATAGGACTACTTTCTATAAAGTTATATATGAATTGAACAGTTCCTAAAAAATTAAAAACTAATCGATTTTGTTTTCCTTTAGAATTTGATTTTTCACATATAGAATCAACCAANGAATATTAGTAATAACTAATAACTAATAATAACAATAGTACTGAATTTGTAAAAATAACATATTATCATGATATGATATTATATTATATTATATGATGATGGAAAACCCTACGTAAACGGTAAACTTGTATTCAATTATTCGGTATTCCAATAATAAGATAACAATCTTTACCATATTATTATTTATAGTTATTATTACATAATATTATACATCAATTATATAAATAAACTATAAAAACAATTTTGATACTAGTCAAAATAATATGTATATACGACTATAATACACCATACTGTATAGTGTATACAAACTTTCAACTACAGAGTGAACATAGTGAATTATTCAATTTTTTCAAATCCACTATTTGGTAATTTCGGTAAATTAAGGCATAGGGCGCTTCGGCCCATGAAAAATCACGGGTCGTGCCTGGGCACGCCCGGCACGCCCTGTGCGCACGCCTATGTATATAATATACTAATAATTGAATTCATTTATGTATTATACTTGTATGTGGGCACCACGATGCACAGGATATGAATAGATATATTTTCTACATCGTGGTGGGTACCTAGATCAATGAGAGTCTGACGAGCTGTTATTGACGCGATGTGCAATTCGATACCTACTCAATAACGCTGTTTTCGTGTCGTCAGTGGTGACCGTAATAATCAAGTATTAATAGTAGTGCATGTGGCTTGTCGACATTTCGGAGAATCGAGTCTTATACACGTCTTGTGCAGTCATTTTTGTGAGCATTTCAGAGTCCAATTAAATGCACAGCCCGTTTCTGAGGATTACGAGTAAATGGTTGGCGCGAAGAAAGACGCTCGTGGCACGCATAGACCTACAAATTAATGGACAGCGTCCACTCACCTACTCGCCATCAGTTCATGGGGACGAGATAGCTCTTTGTCTCTTGGCTCCATTAATTTCTAGGTGTATTTCCAAACTTTTTTCCCTTTTGGCTATCTCGTCCACTGGTTTCTCTCTCTAAGCGCCGTCCACTAGCTTGTAGGTCTATGGTGCATATGGCAAATTATCATGCCGTCACCTTTATTATTCAAAGGTTTTTTTTCGTGTAAAGATATATGGACAGTTTTCATTTAATCATTTACAATTTATTGTACGACCGCGATCTCAACGATAAGAAAATAATTATCAAGGATTATAATTAGGAGGGATACAAAGTTAATAATATTATGCATAATTATTTTGTATTGCATTAATATTTTAGTATTTATAATTATTATAACTATAAACGTAAGGTACTTAGTACGTCAAATACCAACCTGTATGATATTGTTATGTGCATGTACAAAAGAGTCACCTGAGAAGTTGTCTCTCTAATAACTCTTCTCCCCCAAATAAGTCTCTAAAAATGTATTATCATTGTCTATACTAGAAAATCATATTATTATAATTTATAATTACACTTTACACATTATTAACAGTTTATCACATAATCGGTTGTTGAGTCTGCTGTAGTATTGGTACTCGGGTTTATGCTCAATTTAAACACTGAGCAATTTATAAATACATTATACTGAAATTGTGTGAAATACCATCATACAGTTTTTAGATTTTATTATTATAATAAACACACCAGAGTTACCAATGTATAATATCATCACTAAATAATACTGTAGTGCTCGTGGATATGAAATATTATAATTATGTTTGATAAATGAAAGTAAGTAAATGATTCTTAGTATGAAGCAATGTGATCAGAATGATTTGTTAATACATGATACATGGATGATTGTAGTTTTGTAGCAGTGATTGTTTTGAAGGGCTTTAAAAAAACGACAATACTTTTCGTCTGACGATGTAAATAATATATTTTTATTGGAATTTAATAATTATTTGTAATGGGTGTTTTCTATTAAAATATTCACCTTTCGGAACTTTTAAGATACTGGAAAGTATGCGATGAAGGACGGCAATTGAAAATGTTGTGTAAGTTTCCACATCACTTTTTAAGTATGAGCTATGTCCCCTGTAGGCCTTATCCACATTGTAAGAAAGAACGTTCTAACGTCGATCGACTACAATAATAATTAAATAAATTTAGGTATAGGACCTACAGATTGATAAAGCTAAAACTGTACCTCTTTCGTAGGCATAACGCGTGTCTCCAATATCAATACAACATAATATAATATAAATAAAGATATCCATTTTCATTTTCATTTTCCATATTCAATTGTTCTTAATTATAATTTTTAATTTTGTCGCAACACGGCATTTGCCCATTTCCAGCTTACTTGTGTTGAATTTAAGTGTTTGGATCGCTGGAAAGACACGCGAGGTTGAAAACGGGTTATCCGTTTTCACTCTCTGAATATATAACGGCCACGAGGTGGGACCGGGAATAATTAATTATACGTCTTGATATATTATTAATAACAGTATAATTTTAAATAATTTAAAGGACGATAGCCCTCCCTTGGATATACTTATTTAAATTCTACACTGTCGCTCAAAAGTAGTGGACAGGGCCGCTGAGCTTAACTAGTGAGTGCTAATGTTTAGTGGTTGTCTGAATATTTTTGGGCTTATGCGTTGATGTGTATAGTGTTACTGTTTAAAGATTTTTGGCACATTAAATGTTGCTTTATATAATTATATAGGTAGGTAATTAAAACAAAATAAAAAAAAAAACAAAATCAGGAAAAGCCATAAATAACGACAAATGGGTTATAACGAAAGAACAATAAGAAATTAGAATACAAGAATAATATACGGGACAAAAATAGTTGCATACTGCAATTAGGTACCTACAGTTCTTTTTGACTCATCAAATAATACAATATAATAAAAATATATAAATAACGATCAATAGATAAATGCAACAGCCACCTGACTCTATAATATATATTCAGGTAATAATATATGATTGGCAATGATAATATGGTAATATTATATTAAATCATTAGATTAGATAGCTATTCGAGCCTCCATTATAATATTTATCAAGCTAAAGTTTAATTTTGGACTTTTTAAATGTATGATAATATAGGTAATAATTAAAACAAATAAGTAATCAGTACACACAAAATGTTAACATGTTTTAAGGCATTTTATAATATAAAAAAATCTAATAAACATTGTGGCGATTAGCGAGCACTATAAATTAATAATAATGAGAAGTGTACATAGCGCAATAGCGCCTAAAATACATATACATATATATATAATACCAATAACGCAATATAATTTAAGCTCACACTCAAGGGAGACTAGAAATAAAAAAAAAAACGATTCATGCTGTTTGACGAACTTGAACACTCTACTGCATATTTAAAAAAATGATACACCCAACACGATTTAAATGATTCAAAAGATATTGGCGTAAAACAATAGCCAGGTATAATGTGTATGTTATGTATTAGTCTTAGTCTATGTATGTGGGTGTGATGCGGCCGACGATAGTCTGTTTGTTTGACAGGGAGTTGAAGACGTGGTGATGCGTGAGGGTACGACGGTATTAAATAAAATAATATAATAACAGGGGGATGAGGTGACCGAGTGGTCTGACGCGTCCGCTGCGACGCAGCCGGTCGCTGTTCGATCCTCGGCTACCGGGCGGCATTTTTCTCCGGACAAGTCGCGGTGACCGGAGAACAAGTGCTGCCATCCCCCACCCCCGGGGCATGGCAGAAACCTACGGGTGCCCCATTCGAAATTCTGCCAAAAACAAACACACACGTGTTCCCCCCTACCGTCCCAAAAATATACAATACAAACAAACCTACAATACAAATCCTACTACAGCTAATGGCCTCAGTTGCCGAAGCTTAAGATCAATAAAAAAAAAAAAAAAAAATATAATAACAATTTATTTTACATTTTAACGCATTACGAATAATACTGGGACTATGTCCCGCGAACAATTTTATTTTCATTTCCATCTACAACTAAATCGTAAAATTCCTCTAGTCGCTGAATAATATCTCCGTCACTATCACAATTCACAGGGAATCAATACCTATCCCTCAAAGCGTTAGCTTAGAAAATAAATGTTAAACTACATAGTACGTACTTGGCTACTTATATATAATATTATACAAGGTACTACAATAAATACTAAAACTACTTTAACAAGTATATTACAATAAGCTCTCGTTATGTCGAAACTCAAGGGAAACAAAAAAAAAGGTTGATAAATAGAGTTTTATTATAATGGTATTTAATTATTTCAAGGTGATTGAAATTGAGTTCAAGATTACCAAAAATTCGATTCTACCGACGTTTGACATAATAAGAATCTATTGTACTCATTGTATAGGTACATAATATATTACTCATAAGATACATACAATTGTCTTAATATAATCTACTTATTATTATAGTCTCCGCTCATATTCTCACTTATTTTCGTTTATATTACAATGACTGAAAGTTATAATCTAAGTTATATACTTGTATAGTATAATATAATACTATATGTTGTAGTATTTGCTATATTACGCATTTAGGTATACACAATACCGTAGTAGCATGATACTCACAACATAATATTTTAGCTATTTAACACGCCCAGGTATGTATAAACTAATTATAAATTATTTAAATGTATGTATTAGGTATTTCTTACTGTTATTCATCACTCTAGGTAATCGTAAATGGTATGCGAAATCAAATAAATTCAATTAAATAATTTCTCACGACATTGCAATAGATACAACAGACATTGTCGAGTTATGTTATGTCAACCGTAGTGGAATGTGGGTCAGAAACTCAGAACGGATAAGCTAATGTATCAGAATCTATAATTCATTAAAAAATTGTGATATTGATTTGAAACTTGAACCACTGCACTTCATAGTTCATAGAATACAGTTATAAATCTATTAAAATGTTTTAAACATTCAGTTACCTAAGTCACATAAAGTTAAAAGTTAAAATATGTATAGGCATCATTTGCACTATTGGGGACGTTCTATGAATACAATTCAATTCACATAATTCATTATTAATACCTTTTACTTGTATGTAATTAAATTAATCATCTAAAACTTGTTTTAATTTAAATAACTTCTATACAACCAATACATACATATTATACATTTATAGCTTTATAGGAATAATTAAAATGCCTAATAATTATTGGTAAATAACAAAGACAAATAAATGTTTTAAAAGTTCTAATATCTATACTCAGTATGCACCTATAAACTCTAACTTGTTTTTATACAGGGTGCTCACTCCTTTTTTCTTCAATAATTATTCTTCTCAAATAATTCTGATTTGGAGAATTTCGTAATATACTCCTAGACCATACTTTCAAATTTCCAAAGCAGGTCGGTTCACTGTACGAGCTCGGCGTCGTCGGTCTGGAAACGCGGTGGTCGGACGGAAACGAATTTAATTAAAAATACAAGTTAGTGCACACGTAAAATAACTTAAATCACTAATTCAGGTTTATTACCAGTTGACACGCCTAATATTAGTGATTTATATAATGCTGTATTATTAGAAAAATGTGGACTTAATCATGATGAAAATAATACATAAGAGTTAAAAAAATTTCTTTATTTTGAATATTTTTTTCAGTTCGCAAGTAGCAGTTTTTTTCTTAAACAGACAATTATCATCTCCCCAGTATCTCGACTAAACTTGTTAAGTTCGGTGGCCCAATCACTGATTCAGTTTCATTATTTAATCGAATATTATTATACCATAGCTGCGTTATTTGACCGGACTCGCGTCACATGTGTGCGTTTTAAATGTGAACGAAAATGTTGGGGTAAAGACTAGAGTGTTGTGAGAATAATCCTAGTTTTACTCTTTACGCCAAGGCAAGGCGTCGATTTCCATATATGCGGCGCCGCACAGTCTCCGATAGTGACCGCGCCAGACTGTTCGATAAGCCAGCCCCTGGGCACCGCTTATACCAGCAGCAGAATACAAACCACGATTCATA